TGTGAAAGTGAAAATGCTATATTCCCATTAACCAGTTGAATATTTTATCTTAATAAATCAATTTAAATTCTATTGATTACGTTAATTTATGTATATATATGATTATGATTATGTATATCGGGAAGTTCATGCAACTCCTTAAGGTAAAATACTGCTTCCTGTTTGTTACAAGATATCAGTTGGAAAGAATTGTTTTTAATGAAATAGAAAATTTTATTTGCAAATAAATCATTGAAAATTTCTTCTCGACAATGTTGAATATTGCTAATCTATTAACATTGATAATTTAATTATTAACAAATATCAGGAAGTTTACGCTCAGTTTTAATTGTTCTTAATTAAATTATGGTTTTATTTGGTTCTGGTTATTTATTTCAACTAGCAAACAAATATTTGAAGTAAGTAAAATAATTTTCACAGTAAGTAGTATATAGCTTTAAAACTTAACAAAGTACTGGTAACAATATCCATTCATTCTTATATGTTTATATTTTAGAACCGAGATAGTGAAAATGAAAATAGGCGACAAAATGGTAAAAGTGCAGAAGATCATAATGACTAAATCAGAAGTGCAAGCAATGGCTCGTCAAGGCAAAATTGAAATGAAAGGTGGAGCTATGGTTCTAAAACAAGGAGCCAAGATTGTAAAGCCTTTAGCTGCTAATAGTAAAAGTGCCGAAGAAAGTTCAAGTACTGCCAAAGCAAATGTAGCTATTGAAGATGGTGAGAAGCAGTCTGTTGAAACTAATTAAATAAACTATGGGATAGATTTCTGCAATTTCGAGATATTTTGAAAGTTATCTCATTGTATTTTTATCAAATATCATGTTTGTTCATGCAATACATTTTGGTATAATGTATTTAAAAAACAAAGCATACCTTTGGGTAAAACGATATATTTGTAATTTTATTTTATTTTAATTCAGACTTGAATTAATTTTATTTGTGCTTCAATTTTTAGCTAAACTAAAGTATAAATTGTACAAATGAACTTTTTATTTTTAATGTTTTATAAATATTGTGTTAGCTAATTAGTTCTTGAAATATATATTTTTGTATTAGGTAGGTCAAATGTGTGCATAAGATGCTTTACTATTTCAAATGTTTCTTTAAGGAAAATATGTGAAATTTTAACATTTTATTGATAATATTTACAGAAAAACTATTTTGTATGTAATAATCTTCCTTCGTATTGTTAACAATTTTTAGATTTAGTTAGTTTAATTATATATATATATATATATATATATATATATATATATAAAAGAATATGTGAATATAGGTTTTTAGATGTTTTATCCTAATAGGTTTTTTTATTTTTATTAACACTCACAGCTAGTTTGAAAACTAAACTTATTTACTAGTTTTGCACATTTTGCAGTATAGTTTTTCTATGCTACTTTCTAACTAGCTTTAATGCTAGTATTAACTAATAAATAATAAGGATTTAAATAATATAAGATTACATTTAATTATTGTAAAATATACTGAAAAATTTATATTCTGTTTACTGAAAATAGTAAAAATTTATTTGTTATATATACAAAATTATTTGCTAAATGCATGTTGGCTGATATTATTGCAATTTGCCGTATAAATTGTAATAATTTTGAAAAAATTTAACATCTGCAAAATTAATAAACGAATTATTTACTTATTCTTTGGTTGTAGAAATACAACCTAGAAATATTACTAAAATTAAAAATTTTAATTATTAAAAATGAATTTTAGTATGGATTTTAAAAGAAATGAATTACAAATTTATAATTAATTTAAGCAGCCAATTTGTTCAACTAAAAATGATAAATCAATTTTTGTCTAGTTTGTTCATATGTTTCAACTCTGGGTATTTGTCATCATTCCCAATCTAAATAATAATTTGTTTGACAAAATAAATACAATTAAAACATTTAGTTAAAACTATTTACTACTACAAACATAACTACTATTTCTATATAAAATATAAAAATTTAAAAATAGTAATTGTTGCTCTTTTTTTCGTTATTTAAAATTTTGACATTAAAAGAATATTCGCTATTAGTATTTAAATTTAATTTTGTTAAAAGTAATATGTTAATTTTCTCTTAATTGTATTAATTGTTTGAATATAAATATTTGTAATATAGATTTACTGAATGATGACACATATCAACTGTCAAAACGTGTAAAGAAATAAAAATTGATTTGCCATTTTTAAATTGAGAAATTAGCAGCTATCAAATTTAATAATAATATATATATAAACAAATAAATATTGTATAAACATGTATATAGCATACTTTGAACACTTAAAGTTTACATTTCACAAGGACCCACCAAAATTAGCTTTATGTAAAAAAAATTACAACTTACAAACTATTTGAAGAGCTTACTTTTATATTTATCATCTTAAAAAATTTATTTAGAAAATATAAATTTCTATCAATGTAGGCTCTTGAAATAAAATATAGGTGTTAATTTTTTAGTGTATTCTAGGTCATAGGTATTTTGTAATCAAAATTTTAATGCTGAAAATTCACATAAGATAATCTTGTATAATAGCACATTGCAAAAATACTATAAATATTACATATATATATATAATTATATAAATAAGTGATTATGTTTGATTGAAAAGGAAATTATCATTGTGGGCTTATAAAATTCAAAATGTATTTTAACAACAAAGATATAAAAATATTTCAATTTAGAATGCTTTTAAAGTTTTCGAAATCATGTCGTTATGTTACATACAATTTTATATGTTCTCTAAATAATATTAAGTATGCATGAATTTAATTTAAGAAAATATCATTATCAAACAATTGCTCTAAATATATGGATCAATGTTAATATATCTATAATAGAAATTTAGTAGAATAAAGAGAGCATATGAAAGTAATTGTTATACTTTATTATTGCTAAATAAAATTTACCTAAGGAATTAAGTTTTAAACAAATAGGCTGTTCGATATATAAAAATTATTGTGCTTGAACAACTACAACCATTAAATTCAGATAAGATGACGATTTAAATATTTTAGGATGTTTGTTTGGGCGATGAACGCTACTACAAAAAAAAATTAGATTTTTTTTTTAAACAATTAATTGCAAAGAAACGTCTTGACCGATTTTTTCCAAAAACTAATCAGCACGATTTCCAAATAATATCTTTTGCATAGTTTTTGTATTTATAAAATCGGTTCAGCATTTTTGACGAAAACGTTGATGAAAATTTTTGCACTTTTCTGCTTTTATAAAAAAACGGCTTTGAGGTCCTGCAAAATTATTTTACTTTTGAAATTAACGAAATTTGAAACTTCGTATTATTTTTCAGAAACTTTAAATGATCAAAACTTTTACTTCAAATGTTCAATGTATTATCAACAGTTAATAAAACTCAAGCAATTTATATATTTCAAACTTTATTTTACAATACGATATTATACAATAAGAATGGGCAAATGAATATAACATCTATAATATGTAAGTAATGCTAAATAAATAAAAACAAAATAGAATTCTTAATCTTATTAAAATAATAATACCTATTTAGGCATATATAATAGGTATTTAATTACTTAAAATTTAATTCATCGTATACGAAACATCAGTCAATAATTATTTTATAAATACTTATAATAAATCTCTGCAACTTAATAATAAATGAGAAAAAAAAGATTTACGGTTGAGCCTAATATGTTTATGAAGGCATGATAAGAGAAAACATTTGGTACCGTAGGCAGGATTTCAGCTATATTTAATAATCGATGAAAGATAAATAAAAATGACACAAAAATTAATAGAATTAAAAATTAATTAAATGATATTAATAAAAAAATTAATAGTGAATACTGGAGCTATATAGTCTTATACAAACTTGATTTTTGTTTTAGCCTGGATAGTACATATCCATTGCAAAAAGTATTGAATGAAGAAAAATGAAAATTAGGTCTTGTGACAAATGTGATAATAAAATGCCAGGTGTAAAGAACAATTCATATGCCAATGATGCAAAAAGCACTATCCATATAAAGAAACGTTGCATTTTAGGTTTATGCATATGCAATATATACATATGTAATATATGAAAATATATTAGGTTTATGTATATGTAATATGTGAGATTTTTTTGAAAAAAAAAAAACGACGGTTTACAATTAGTAAGAAATACAAGACTAAACGATAAAGAGCTACAAATATGATTTAAATATTTATATTATAAAATTTTAAACCATATATGTATAAACCTCTAATTCTTGGAGAATTTTCTCTTAAAAAATAATTTTTAAATTATCAATTATCGGATTTGTTTCGACTTTTCGGAAATCTATGGACTGTCTCCTTCCTCAAATAATTATTACTCTATATTCTTTTTGCTCTAACTTTAATGAATAATAAGGCTGCTAACGTTTCGAATTTATGACTTGTTTCATCATCAGTGTAAAGTAAATTTAATTATATGTGTCATTTCATTTATTAAAATAAAGTTTAAATTTACTCTGACGATGAAGCAAACCATAAAGTTTAGGTAGTTATAAAGTTATTGATATATATATATATATATATGTATATATATATATATATATATTATTATTATTATTATTAGTCTGGATAGTGCTTTGACGTTAAAGTTTAATAAAGCATTATCGCAATTATTTCATGCAAGGTGAGATGATCTATTAGAATTAGATTTTATGATATACGTAGTTTATGATACGAAATGAGATCTCATGGTTCTTCTATTTTATTGTTGCCATCTAAGCGTTTCATCTGAAAATAAAAATTTTATAAGAATATACGAAAAGAATGTAAGAAATTCCCAACAAAAACCACCACCAATATTCTAGAATGCACAAACCAAAATCTAAATTGAAATAAACAAATGAGGCTAAATTTTTGAGCCAATTGTTCGTAAAACGTAAATTTAATTAATTTTAATTTGAAAATTTGCTCTATTTCTTTTAAGTACAAAAATCGTAAAACATAGATGATATTCTACTACATATATTGAAAGCTTGATATTTCATTTGAAAAAGTAGCTTAAGTATAAGATAAAATAAGTGCAAAAATATACAATTAAATCTGTTAGAAAAAAAATAAAATTATTTTCCGAACAATTCAACAGTTAAGCAAAAACTACGAACAATCAGCTCTTGCAAATGATTTAAAAACACCACATAACATAAAAATATATACATTTATTTCTAAAATAATTAGTATTATACATCATATTATTAATACACTCTACAATATTACGAAAAACAATTACATTGTGTCAAAGAGATTAATCATATTGGAGAAGAAAATTTTCTAAGTTATTGATTGCACTTTTAAAACTAAAAGCAGTGAGATTCTAAATAAAAAAATATTTGAGGCAAAATTATCGTAAATAGGTCAAATAATTACGGAAATTTTATCAAAGGAATGAAAAAACACTTTTGGAAGCTTGCAGATGACCTTGCAGATTTTGAAAAAATTCGAAATAGGTACATAATTTCAATGATCAATTAATGATAATACTTATGTTGGCTATAATTGGAAAACGTGGTGTCAACAATAAAGAGCTACTTCGTAAAGGATGTTTTCAGACATTTGTTTTTTTTTGGGGACAGGTAATTGATTTTCATAGGTATATCTCAACCGCTACTTGAATTAAGGTCTGACAAGAAGGTAAAACAAGAGACATAAGTCACTCTGATGTTTCCAAAAAAGCCGATATTTCTTAATCACTCAGAGACCCAGATTTGCGGTCAGTGCGTTGCTTTTTGCAAAAATATCCCAAATTTGAAAAACAAGAGATGCCAGAAATTTCTAGCTTATATGCCAAAGCAAATTTCTATCCAGTACCTTCACTATGTAATTTTTTTTTGTTTATTTTGAAAACGTTAATTAAGTCATAGTACACTCTGTAACATAGGACAATGTGTTTGGCGACAAATCTGGAACTTCTGGGTGACCGAGGTATTTCGAAAAAAAAGCCGCTGAAAATTTTCGCAAAAATCTCCTTAACGAAGTTAAGCTATGTTGTCACCACCACGTATTTTTTCAATTTTGGATGTAACATAATTTATACTTTCTGAAAAATAATGATATTTCAAAATAAACTATCTTGTTTATTAGAAATCAACATACTAAAATAAAATAGATATCATTGATAGAAAAATTACTATTTACATATTTTTTTCTTGAGAAATCTGATACTGCAAATATCGCGTCATTATTTGCTTTGATCATTGATATGCAATTTAGTATCAAATATATTGTTTTAATATTTATGGTTTTAAAGGTGCATCTCGCCTAAGTAGAAAAGGACTACATAATCATGGTTGAATTAAACTTGACCGAAATATCTTTTACAAAAAATGTAGTTTTTGTTACCAAAACTAATACATAAAAGATGGTTATCGCAATTTAATATTTTTTGGTTTATAAGATATTCATTAAAAGTTAAAAATATAATTAATAATTTAATTATCCATTTATAACTAATGACAAGATTAAAACGGTGGATATAATATATTTTCTTTAATTTCGAGGAATTGATATAAAATAGTATAAAATTGAGTAATTTGAATCTAATGATTTGTTTAAAAATACAATATGCACATGTGTCTCAAAACAAGACGTGATATGAATTAAGTACTGGTATTGGATGTTGGAATACATATCAAAACTCATCTAAAAGCATTTCAGATAAAACTATACAGGGATGATCATTAATACTGGAAAATAGAGGTCGGAACAAATGTGATCAGCATAAATCATTCTACATAAATATGTATTTCTACATAAGTTATGTAACATAACCCTAAGACAACTTTTAAAGTACATTGATAATGAGATATTTATGGATTGAGGACACTACTGGTGAGCAAACTAAATCTTAATTTGTGGAAGGAGTTAATAAAAATGCTACATCACAGACCTAGACTCTAAAGAATGCCATAAAATCTATTTAGGGGTGGTATAAAAGTTTCAGAAGAAAATTTATGAATTAAGGGTATTATTAACAAGCAAAAGAGTTGTGGAAGGACCATCAAAGACCTGGACTTCTGAAAAAGCCTCAAAATCTTTCTGGACAGATTCCAAATGTGGTGTTGGAGAAAAATTGGTTGATACATGATATATCAGGAGAACAGAAATCTCAAGAAGATGCTGATTATGAAACTGAAAAGGAAATTAATTCCTATATTTTGATTAATTAAATTATTTGTCAACCTATTCGAGAAGATAATGGAAGGTAGTTGAAAGCTAAAGTGCAGGACTCCAAAAAATTTCAAAGAAAAGTAAACAATAAACAAGTAATGATGAAAACATATCATATGTCTAAATTAGATATGTCATCAATAAATATCCAATTTACTTAAAAGAAAAGGTTTGATAATTTTTGGTATCATCACTATTCCAAGGTGCTTGAATTCATTTGGTAATTATTTTACGCAAACTTTATTTAAACCATAATATCGATGGCAACAACGATATTTATATTTAAAAATAACTTAAACAAAGTTCAAGATAGGGTTAAACAATCCAAAAATCTCGTTATTCAGTCAATTGACTTAGGTGTCATTGTGAATTTCTTGTTTGTTTTTTAAAAAAGTTACAGAACTAAAAATAACTAAATTTTGCCAAATATCGCTACTCCAATCATTGGATGATACAATTTTTAGTATTGTGTTTCAAAAACGCGCTAGAAATTGTCATGTGATTCCATGATTCCACATATTGATGAAATAATAATTATTGGTGAAAGAAGTAAAACTTCTTTGGGCGCGACTAGGGTGTAAATCAGTACAAATGCAACAGAAGTGCGTTACAGCCGAATCGAGTGCCAAATTCGTCATTCGCTCTCGATGATATCATTTCTATACGGGTCGATTGTGATTAGTCGTCGTGTACGTGAATAGAGATCTGTCGTTGTATGCGTAGCGGCATCGACTAATGTTGATTTAATGAAAAATGCCTGAATCAGAAGAATATTTTACTCTGTTCCTTAAAAATTTTAAGATTCTTAAAAATCAAGCCACATGTGCATTCGTGTTAAACAAATCTTCTAATTATAAATATATTACTCATTACTTAATAATAATCATTAATAATTAATTTTAATATTTAAGCATCGATCGCACGTTTGTTACGCATTCATATCCAATCGGTCTTCTAATTTTCTGCCAGCTTTAGGCGTTTCGTCGATATAACGAAGCTGGAAAAAAATTTACATTATGACAAACTACAAGAAATATAATACACATGCATTTGTTAGACTCAATAACTCTAAAAGAATACTAGAAATAGACAACAAATATTATCTTGAAACAGTTACAAATAAAATGATCACTTTTTACCCAAAACCAGATATAGTATAGAATTTAACATACCTCTTTTTCATCAGCAGGCACTCTGTATCTCTCGTTGACTGGAGCAGTTACAGTGTGTAATTTTGGAGCAGTAAAAGCAGTTGTGTACAATAAAGCTGCAGCAATACCTCCGAGGATGGGGCCAACCCAGTAGACCTGGAAATTTTGAGGAAAAATATCAGGTAAGAGTAGCAATAGTTATAATAATAGTTTTGGGCACATGTTTCTGTTATTGCATTGTTGATAGCAGTGGTCAAAACAAATATTTGTGTAATGTCAAGGTGCTAGTTTTAGCATGTTTCATTTGTGGTCAGCACTAATAATAAAAATGAGTATTAAATCAATCAGTGCATGATACAAGATTTGCTGTGTAATGAGATTTTTTGATCCCAAAGATTAGATTACGTAATTACCAACTCCCTTTAAAATTCATATGCAAAATATTTTTCATTGATTTTCTTCCTCGCATTTCTGGCATATCAACTAGGAAACGAATTCCAAATATATCTGGTAAGTTCAAAAAAATTACTAGGCACGAAATTCTGCCTCATCGAAAAAAAAATTAAAAGAACTAAAATGATTGGCATTATTCAGAATTCACTCAAGTCCTCCAACATACATCGGAGAGAACTGAATCATGTTTTATTTCTCCTCAACCCAAATCTTTATAGAATACAAATGATTCTCCGTATATAGTAACATTTTCTACTAACCCAATGATCTTGCCAATGTCCAGCCAAAGCGGCAGATCCAAAAGCACGTGCTGGATTCATACCAGATCCAGTATAATCAACAGCTGCCAAATGACCTAAAGTTACAGTGAGACCCACGCTCAAGGGTGCCAAATAACGAACGGGCTGGTCTCGGTTTTCGTCACATGCTCCAAACACCTGGTAATATAAATTGAACTAAATTAGTTAACCATACAGAAACTATTTATAGAATTAATATACCATTGAAATGGTGATTTTAATCATCATCATAACAAGTCTAAATTTTGTTTTGATTGTGTTTGAACAGCAATCAGAACTAGGAGTTCTATATTTGGTTGTGATAATACTTTTCCTAAATTACGTTACTCTCTATCATATGAAAGCATTTACTAATCTGCACTTCTGATAAAAAAAATAATAATAATTTATGGTGAATGCGCATCACCTCTGGATAGATTGGATATGTTCTGCCAAGACTAAAACACGTTTGGCAATTAGATTTAGTTATTTAGTTATTATTAGACATTGTGTTGGTAATAAATTTGCTCATTTTCCAGAGTCAACGCCCAATCAATCGTAGATGGTATCTATCTATCTTTATTTTCCGAACCTTAGCTGATACGTTTCACCTATAATAACGTTCCCAATTTACTAGAAACATAAAAACCAGTGGCTCCTAAATACTAATTATTAAAATAGTTGTCATTTTCTAATACATTATATTCTTTACATATAAATGCTTCAAAGTTTTTCTATTATTTAACAAAAAATGCGGCTAATTTTGTGATATTCTGTTTCTACTTACGGCTAGTACTAAAACGAATCCCAAGAAGAATTCTACTCCCAAAGCTTGTGCAGGACTGACTGGACCTCCTGGTGAGGTCACTCCTAGCATTCCTTGTACAGATTCAGGTGTCAACGACTGTAAATAATAAATAAATTTTGTATCAACGAAATTTTTTTGACAAAATATTTAAATAGTTTCTATAAACATTTTAACTAAATGGAGAAATCAAGAAAGAAATAGAAACAACTAATAATAATCAAGTTGGAAATAATAGAAAATTGAAGTGTTACCAAAAAACAATATTTGGAATTTTTAATATAGGATTGGAACGAAATTAGACTTATAGAATCTGGATTTTATTACGTCAAAAAATTATTTTTCAAGAAAAGACATTACAAAATTTTGGTAAATGTGTTATAGGAAAGAACTAGTGCCATTGCTGAATTAATTGACTGTACGTTCAAATTATCATGAAAATCTATAAATATAGAGCATCATCTATAAATGAAGACAAACGTTTATTTCAAAATAAATAAGTAAAGTCAAAATATATTAAATTGAAATCTTGTAACTGATGATATGAAAGCTGGTATTTTATTACCACACTATCCTCTTGTTTCACAATCTGTTGTTTATTTCCAAAACATTGTTTTACTCATATGTTTATTAATTATTACAATTATTCGTTAAATTATTTATGCACGAAAGGTAAGTTATGTGAAAATTATCTAACTTTAATTTATTTAAACTATAGTTCAACACATTTATTTAAACTACTATACCCAATGTTTAGAATCACAAGAACCAATTTTTTAAAATAATTCTTTGTTTAACAAAATATCTAAAGCAGTTTATTTCAGAATTTATGAACTACAGATATTATTTGATTTCAATATTTCTATCGTCGTTTATATTCAGTAATATTAATGTCATTACTTTGTAATATTATTTGGAATTGTGTAATGAAATTTACCTTCAAAGCTGCTGATCCAGCCAGTGCTCCCAAACATTGTGCGACCATATATAGCAAACCTTTGAGAAACAAAACATCATATTATTATTACATACATATAAGCTATATATACACATACATATAAGCTATATACGTAAATATTACAGTGTTAAACTTTTGCCAAATGAAAACTTTTAATAACTGATTAACGGATCCATCCCATAGAATATGGATTTTTATCTATCATAAACCTTTTATTCAGAAATTTTTAAACAACGAAATTTCAAAGATGATATTGAAATGCATTTCAGTAGAAAATGAAGTCCAACTTTGCACAATAAGAACAAAAGAAGAGTTCTGTATCAGGATAACTAATAATCAATAATAAATAATAAAATAAATCCGTAGATAATGGATGTATAAAACATAATAATAATGGATAAATCCGTATAACTAATAATCAGCTCCTTACATCAGTTAATTTTCTTTGAAAATTCTCAATTATATCATTTTTATATCAAATTATTGGTAAATTAATAAAATCATTGTTTTAAAGGAACAGTGTTCAATAAATAAGGTGATCCTTTCAAAATTCTATTATCGATTTTCTTTATGTTGAGTCTTATAGGTTTATAGTTTCAAGTACTTAGCATAGAACAATTTCAAGTTGTTTGCTTGTTTTTTAGAAAAAAGTTCTAACTTTGAGATATATATATATATATATATATATATAGATTTGTGTGCAGATTAATTAATATAAATCACCTTTGAGAATGGAAATTCTGCCGGTGACAAGCATCCCCCGATGTGACCGCAGGGTTAATGTGCCCTCCGCTGACATGTCCTATTGTCTGAAAATAATAATGACATCGTGCTCATTAATTCATTATCGGTATAATTCAAATCGTAATACAACAGTATACAACATTGAATAATATAGCGTAGAGCGGGGCTTAAAGGTCCGCCAACGATATCTCAAAAATCACTTACGTTGAAGATTTTTTAACAACAATATTTGAAAGTAGAGGGTAAAAAATGTATAACCCAGACATGCCTTTGATTCTTATGACGTTGATATCGGGGGTTAAAATGCAATGTTTTAAAACCCATAACAAAAGTATTTTCGTGAGCACTGTTGTCTAGTTTACGAGACCTTGATATAATATTTAAATATACCCTATTTAAATGTTTCATAATAATTATTGTTAATTTTAACTTAGATTCAACAGTTTTTTATATAATCTTCATAAAAGCTTTCATCTGGGTAGGGTAAAAAGGATTAATTGAACCTTTCCCCTGGTAAAGGTGTAAACAATCGGAAATAGTAAATAAAAAAGTTAAGTTGAATAAAAGCAATTTTCTAGGACATAAATTAAATAAATAATTAAACTAACGCTGCTGATAAATATGCCCAACGAAATACCAGATCAAGGCTATTTACAATGTTTATAAATACATGGTATCGCAGAGTTCAATGTCAAATAAAAAAAATAACCAAATAAAGTTTAGAAAAAAATATCTCACGTTGTTTGGAAAATGTGATCTTTAAAGTGTAGCCTGGAGTTTTTCTTTCCTTTCCTTCTGTTAATTTAAACTTACAAACCGTATTACTGAATAACAGGAATATACTCAAAAACAATATCACAATTGCCTCCAGTTTTTAAGAATTAAGACTTTTAGTTGGACTATGATTTTAAATTCTTTATAATCAGTCGACTTTGAGAGACCCTCCTTTAAAAGACATGCACTAGAGTCTGTTTGGCAACTTACATCAAAAGTTAGCGCATTTAATCAGCATTTTATTTTTGAAAAAAAAACTAGTAAAAAAATAAATATCGAAAAATTGTCCCATAATTGCTAACGCACTCTAGATTCTTAATTTTACTATCTAGAACCACACTCAAAAACAATTTCATAATTGCCCTAAGTTATCATAAAGAAAGAGTTCTTTTTGACTATGATTTAATTTTTTTTTAATCGGGCGACTTTGAGGGGCGCTCCTTTTAAAAAAATGTACTAGAATGTATTGACAAACAAAAATTAATTATCAGGGTTGTAAATGGTAAAATACATGATCATTTTATAATTGAAAAAAAAAAACTAGTAAAAAAATAAATTCCGTAAAATTGTCCCCGTAATTGCTAATCCAATCAAATGTTTTTGTTTTGCACAAGCTTTTGGTAGATTCTTAATTTTACAATTAAATGGTTATGTAATTGTTTTAATTATTGTACACCAACACGGGCTCGTATGGCCTACCCTACATGAGCAGCTCATTATTCCAGAATTTAAGTAATTCTTGTAGATGAACCACTTTTCGTATAGCCCTCTAATAATTTAGAATGATTGTTTAGATCATGATACCTATCATTTTACAATGTTTCATCAAAATCGTCAACAAGATTTCGGCAATTAGTTGAGAAAAAATGATCTAGCACACCTTGCCCAAAAATAAACAGCATAACTGCTGCATAATATCTTTCACACAGTTCAAGATTTTTAAATTTATAATGAAATCTATAATTTTTCTAGACTTCATTCTAGAGAATTTGCGTATCCTAATATTAAAAATGATTAAAATAAAAAAGGCAATAAACCTTGGTCATAGAGTGTGGCACTGCACTAAGAATTAAAAACATTAAAATTGATATACAGCAATTTAATGATATTACAAATATATCAATTATATCAATTTCCACTTTTC